AGTGTCTACACACTATATGTAGTAAGTTTTTTAGAGAAGTAGTCAAATTAAATCTGGATACCAATTTATTGGAACATTATATTTCTTACAGAAGTAGTCAAACAATGATATCAATTTGTTGGAACCATCAAGGAGGTGACACTCCTGGAGGGTATATATTCTCCATCTTATGCCTATTTGAAATACGGTTATAGGTCTGTACTTTGCCACTCATATTGTAGTACTCAACTTTAGCAATGATGGAGCAGGAAAGTGTGCTGAACCTTCTAATATGGATACTGCACTTGTACGAGCTAGGGGCCACTATTGCTTATCATATGGATCGTAGATGTAGTGGTAATGTACCACCTATTTTTTTAGTATAGTGATGATATGTTATATAACAATCTGGTTGCCGTGACGTAGCTATTCCCTGCAGGGCCAGTGAAAAAATAGAATAAAAAGGTTAATTAGAGAAATAATAGAATTAACGATTGAATATCCAATGGCTTTGATTTTATATTTATGTGGAAGATTGACGTAAGATTACGTGTACAGTATACAAGTGAAAAACATTATAATTTATTTAGATGAGCTATTACCAAAGTTTTTTTGTCAGAGGGGGGATCCTGTATCTTTATTATCATTATCAAAAACATGACTCTAGGCCCTAAAGAAACAAGAAAAATACATAACAAGTCCTTAGACTTTTGCAAAAAGGAGCTCAAACTGATGCAAAACATGATTGGGTCCTTGCATCCGTGTAGGTTCCACCTCACTGTTGTCGGGAACGAGCCACTTGGGGCAACGAGGTTGCTACGACTTTAGGCCATACATAGCCTCGAACAGAAGAAACACTGCCTCCTTGTTGGCATAGCACTAGGAGGAAGAAAGAGGTGAACGGATAGATCCGGCGCCACAGAAGGCTGCCCTACAGCCCGAAGAGTGACCGGAGCGATGAAGACCGCCCATCGATCACCAAAGACCAGTTTCAACAAGCGGCGTAGCTTCATAAGAAATTCTGGTGATAATAAGCTCACATCGGATCATATAGTATAATTTCGGCTGAAATTAACACCAAAGCTTCTATTGCAAAATAGATTATGAAATATGGACTATTTGTTGGTAATCTTGAGTCGTCTTGAACTTAAATATTGGCTTTACAAGAAGACTTTCTTTTTTCATAATAATGGATGAGCAAGAATTTTAGAAACCAATGTTCCATTTTGTTATCCACGTAACGTAATCATCTGTTCAATTCATTTCCCGTGGCAACGCATTTTTATATGAAATATTAAAGTTTTATTAAAAAAGGATTTTCCATGTTCAACATTTATTAAAATTGGATATAAAATATGACGAAAAATGAACCATCAAGTAGGTTCTACCACTTTTATCGCCCGGTGCAACGCACGGGCATTTGTACTAGTATGATTAATACCTGTTAGAAAGAAGGAGCAAGCAAAATTCCCTTCGAGTGCTCATGATCTCTGTTCGTCTTTATTTCTTGGCAGATCGTCTTCACTTTAAATTGTCCGCGGATATCTTCTCACATATTCTTCCTTATTAGCAATCGGATATTTACAACCCTCTCAGAACAAATCCTGATAAATGAACCCTCAAATTTCACAGATTGTTCCTAATTACCAACCTGATAGAACAAATCTGACAGTGTCAGTTCACGAACGTATAAATTTTACTGGACAACACAGACAGAAGGATGCACTACAGTGTTGAAGGCTATTAGTATCAACCGGGAACATATATAGACACAACAAAATAACAGAATGTGATGGAGGAATTCCAGCATGCACCAGCGGCAAGTATTAGAAAATAGAGTAGCTTTTGTTTCCCTGGAAACATCGGCTAGTTAGGAAATCTTGGAAAACTTTTCCAGGTATGTTCATTAATTAAGACATTAAGGAAACAGTTGATTTGTTTATCCGACGACAACTCCATATGCCTCATTTTGCCTATCAGAGAGCTCACCTTCATAATCTCACATGTCTTAGATGCTTGCAGACCAACTACAAATTTCAGTTTCTTGCCATGCCAAGAAGCCAAGGATTCAACACCACCCTGCGGTCCCCAACTTGTATCACATTAGACATGGTAAGGAAAGCAAGTAAATCCGAATAAACAAGTCTTAAGGAAGCAAGAAAATGCACTGAACTGATTATATCCAACAAAACAACGAAAGTAAAAAGAATATCACAAAATCCTTGAAAAAAATACTCCCTACTTCACAGTAAAAAAAGGCCATTAACAATGAGAATTGAAAAGAGCCAGTCAACTGAAATTATGAAAACATAATAAATACTAAACCATTAGAAATCAATACAATAAAAATTAGTTACTGAATATAATGTTCAAAAAATATTAGGAGAAAGCATGTAAATTCGTGACTGTGTTGTTCATTGTCCTTCTCTAGATACCTTTCTGGGGAGGGAAAACTAATCCTGAAACAAATCGACCGAAAGCACCTTCACACTGATGGCCTGAGGGGACAAAAAAAATCACAGCTCACTGATTCAGTTGTGATTGGATAGCTCTAAACTGAATAATGACAACCAAATATAAATGCATGACCATCTGAACAGACTGAAAAAGATGGTAGAAAAAATGAAATTACAATTTCCCAAAAGATAAAAATAATGCACTACAGTATGTTAGCTTGCCAACATCATGTGCAAACTGAGACTATAAACAAGGGTGGGAAGGCACTAAGAAAAGTTGAGCCACAAATGAGAAATAAATATAGAGAAGTACAAGAATGTGGATATATCAGATAAACTTAACATGTAGCAACAATAGCATTTATATATCAAGAACAATCTGATAAACATAATGCTCAGTTATTGCAACTTTATCAAATGTCATCTAAAGGGTTGACACAACAATGCTGCTATCCTGAAGGATAAAGTTAACAGACAAAGCAACAATGGAGTCACTACATATGAAAAATGGGCATTCCATAAATCACCAAACGCACACAAATATTGACTAAATGAATGGCGAAAATGTAACTTTAACTATTGATATGATCTGGAAGACCGATCCGCAACAGAAAGAATCAATTTCACATGTATCAATTAAACTACATGGTTAAGGTTGGCATTACCAAAGAAGCAACTATATGGTTTTAAAAGGCAATGCAAACTATGCCCTAAATAAAATATTGATGTGTAGTGAATGCTTGAATTTTTACTGATCCATGAGTATTTAGCCTTGCAAGGTGGTCCTTGCTGATTCACATGGGATTGTACGTGCCCCATGCTAGTCGGGTCAGAGCGTAAGCTTATGATGCTTTCGGCTACATGAATTTAGCTATCCAGGGTGGCTCATTAAAGTTTACAGGCATACAGAAAAATGAATATTTATGTGTTGCACTTATTTGGAATGTTTTAAACATTTTTTAATCTGATGGGAGGGGACCCATTTCACCCTTGATATGAGTCAATTATCTCATTGCCAAACTTACAAAAAAATGTGGATCAAACGGAATAGGAGGGTTCGAGCCCGCTGGTTCTGTGGAACAATGGCTGGGGCAGTACCTCACTCTCTAACAGTGCATGTGCATTAACCAGTATCTTTAGTTGCTTGTGCACAAGACATCAGAAACAGAGCACCATATATTAACTTCACAATTAGGAAATTCTTGCATGAATATTTGAAGTCGGTCCATTCCAGCAATATTAGGTAAATTGCATTTCAATGAGCAAAAAAACATATGTCGAGGATTAAAGAAGCAAGAAGACATGATTGTTGAGCCCATCTTGACGGAAGGTTCAACTTCAGTTCCGGAATGCTAAATATGGGACACTGACCATGTTGACACATGCTTATTCTAATTTTAATGGGATTACCATGTGGCAAAAACTAACAATGTCACTCACAAGTCTGAGAAATACAACTCATCATCTGCTACTAGAAGAATTCATTCATATAGTACATGTACTGGGATTAAAGCACGAACCTGTTCAGAGTTTGCATCCCATTTTTCGCTGAAGCTTCATGGTAGATAATAATTTATCTAGGAAAACGTCTATTGTGGTCACTTAATTTCCTCAGCTTAATTTAATTCTCCAAACTTCAAAAGTGTCTAAAATTTGCACCCTCAACCATAAAAGATATGATGGCAACACGAGAAAAAAGTGTGGGGAATACCTCATGGCTTCGGAGTTAAGAGCCAAACCCCAGGAGTCAACTTCTATTGATATGAGCAGCAAAGGAACCACCACAAAGAAATCCTGCTTTTCTGGAGAAAAAAAAGGAAGAATAGATGACTCTGCAGCTTCTAACAATGTAACGGCGTTAAGTAGTGCTTCGATAAGAGAAAATACATGAAAGACAAGCTCAGTGTTTGAACTTTCAGAAGCTGCCAACTATCAAACTGCATTACTGCAGCATATCCGGCACACACGTAATGTAGCTAATCCAGGACGGATATCTGCCTTTGTGATCTGTTAAAATTCTGACCTCCACACGTAATTTATTGTATACGTAACTTGTAAATCAAGATATGTGAATGTAAATATCCAGAAAGTTTATCCTGCGGTGAAACAAAAATCTGACTCTAACAAAAAGTCAGAAACACTGAAATAAAGGAAGTAGCAGAGATATCATTCTCCCAACCTTGTTTTCCTTTTTTATCTTTAAAAAGGCATCATCCTAGCATGAAGGTGCTCTTCGACTACCCATTATCTTTCGCAATGGTTCTATATATAGAATGTATACCTTTATAGCAAGCTGATATGATAAAGTAAAATCATTACTTTACCCATACAACATCCAGTCATGTTAAATTATACACCATAAATTAATGTTCCAAACAGGATGCTCCCAGCCAGAGTTCAAACACATACCCACAACACAAAGTACACATACATACAGTTTTACAAAAGTTCTCCCAAAGGGTCCAAAGCCAACAATAAAACAAACACAAGACCGGGACCTTAGCTTTGCATTTAAAGTAGTTGGCGAGACCCGGTCCCAGGTGTCTTGAGTAGTACTATGTCACACTAGCCATTATGCTGTGCCCCACCAGCACCCCCATGGTTGTTCACAGGAGCAAGAATTTGTGCCGTCGATGGACCTGGTAATCAGATAATTATAGGAAGTAAGTAAACCTTTGCATCTATGATACGATACAATAAATTACTAAAAATAGGTTGACAACTCTTAACACTCAGAAGAAATTGAATTAAATTATAACACATAAAGAATAGAACAATTAATTCCATCGATCAACAAAGAGGAAAAATTGTTTGTGAACATATTAAAGCACAGTAAAAGTATCCATGTATGAAAAAGAAAGGATAAATTAAATTAGAACAATAAAGAATAGAACAATAAATTCCATCGATCAACAAAGAGAAAAACTTGTTAGTGAACACATTAAAGCACAGTAAAGGTACCCATGTATGAATAAGAAAGGATCCAGGCGACTCCTTTAATGTTAAGATAAGTAAATTACCTGCAGCATAGAAACTGGCGAACGGATGATACAAATCATTGAGAAAGTGTCCATGAATTCTCTTGCACTGCATTGACTCAAGTTGAACCGTAAAAACACGGATGCACATCTCTTTGTACACCGATATAAGAATGGAATTAGCATCCTCGGCATACCCGAGAACTAATGACCTCCATGCCCCCGTTGAAGACGGCGCCAGATCAAAGATGCTGTCCAGAATAACGGTCTTGCGAAGCACCCATGTTGCAACACCATGAGAGTTGACGTTGCGGTTCCACAGTTCGATGGCAGGGTACAAGAATAAGGCGAGGCCAACAGCGCCATCCTCTCCTGGGATGATCCGGCAGTTGCGGCTCTTGAGGTTGGCACGGGGAGGCCTTGTGATGAGAGCTAGGGTCTGGCTATCCAGATTGAACTCTAGTATGCTATTCACAGGCCTTTTGAGCCAACAGCAGAGGCGGTTGCCGACCACGGTGGCGGGGACACTGGTAAGACGACATGGCTCAGGAATGGAGATGATGTCTCCCCATGTGCCCGTCTCAGAGGAGTACACACGGGCCTCAACTCTGGTGCGACCCGAGCAGGCTACCAAGACCAGCTTCAGTGGGCGCTGCTCGTCGTCCCAGAGCAGAGCTCCGTTGGCGTTGTACGCGTCGTCGAAGAAATCCGGTGGGAGTGAGAGATCCGGTGGGAATGGCACGCGGTCGCGCTCACCGGAAAATGGGTTGTAGATGAGGAACTCACGCAGCGTCCAGTTCATGATGAGGACGCGGCCCTGGCGGACCCCGAGCACGCACCAGGTGTTCCACGCGGCCTCGCTGCAGACCTGGAGGGAGAAGCGCTCCCTGGGGATGCGATCTGGAGCTTGCAGGCCAGGTGTGAAGAGCAGAGTCGTCATGCGCTTCTCGAAGACGCCTACGACCGGGGGTCTCCCGTGGCGGTCGCGCCAGAGGCGGCGGAAGTCCGCGGAGGCGGCGATGCGACCCCACGGCTTGCAGACAAGCGCCCGCGGGATGGACGATGGCTCCGGGGAGAGGCGGACGAGGATCTCGCCGAGGACGTTGTCATCCTCCAGCGGCCCCGCCGCAACCGCCGGGGAAACGCGGTGGCCGCGGCCGGTGGTCATCTCGCCGCCGACGTCGCCCGTGTGGAATAGAATGGGGATTCGAGCCTGTTTTTCTAGGGTTTTCCAATGGAAGTGGGGAGCTGTGCCTGTGGACTCGTTTTCTTTCCTGTAAGAAGGACTGTTTGGGCTGTGGGCGTACAAGGGGAAAAAAAAGCGATTTTAGCCCAAGATGAAATTGATATGTTGGTAGCAAATATACTTATTATGTAGAAGCAGGAGGTTTTTCTCAAAATAAAATGTAGAAGCAAGCGGTGATTATTATGGAAAATCTACCAACGAAGTGCTTTGCGAGTGAACGCACATCTGCCATGAATATGAGTCAGGGAGGCGGCAAAATGGTGGGAAAGAAATAGTTGGGTTGACGAAGAAGAGGAAGTGGATGAGCCCAGACTCCTGTGTCGCATGCCTAGGGCGACCCGGGATACTCGCGTCACCACAATACTCAGGTCTCCCCTTGCTCCTCCCTCCTACTGTCGTCACCACGGGCCTCTGTCACGGCGGCGACATGCCTGCGTTGAATGTTGCAGGAAGCGTACTATGGTGGTAAGTGCTGGTTGGTGGGTGTTTTTAGTCCATAGATCCGGCCAACAATGGCCTTGATTCTGGCTAGCGGTGAGCGTTTACAACCCTCTTATGTTGCTCGCAACCTTGTACTAATGGGAGGTTTGTGGATCTGGCCCGCCTCGATGTGAGCGGGACTCCTCCAGGTGTGGGCATGGTGCGCGAGCTTCCGTTGGCGGGGTGCCCTACCCTCGTTCTATTGAGGAGCGTTTTAGGCTGGCTTGCAATGAGCATGGTGCGCACTTGTGGAAGTCGTGGAGACCGAACTCTAGTGCTTACTGGATTCTCTGGCGAGGTGGTTCATTTCACAGCGGCGAGGTGTGTTGTTGCGGGTGAAAGCCATGTGCTCGCTTTTGTCAGTAACAACGACGACAGTGCCTTAGGGCATTGTTTTCCTTATTAAACGCATCATCATGGATCTTCCACACTTTTCCAGTCGTATGTTCTCCGGGCGAAAGCTTTAGGTCCAGCATCTAGAGCAGAGGGCGATGGCGTCCTTGACTTCGTAACTCCTTAGAGGCGCTGTATTGGAGTCGCCGACCACACGGTGCTTGTTTGATGGATGGGTTGTAGTGTGGTTGGCCCATGGCCGGTTTGAGGTTTGTGGCTACAACTGGATGTGCCGGGAGAGGGTGGTGGTGTTTGGTCCTAGTCTTTTCTTGCTCATGTGTTCCTTTGCCAAGCTGTGGACATTGGTCTTACCGTTCCACCTAGTTTGCAGAGGAGCCTGATGTTCTTATCCGAAGTCAGGTTGACGAGACTGTGATCCATTTTAGTTTGCCTCATTCCCTATCAAGACCCCCTCCTTAAGGGGTGTTGTCGGATGGCAGCCGGACGACGACAAGCTCAATCCCCTACCTTGCTTCGTCGAATGAAGATGGAAGCTAGATCCCTCGTTCGTGATGGCTGTGTCAACAAGATATGACGTAGCAAGCGGCGACTCTTTCCATCCTTGTAGTTGTCATGTTGTTTCTTTCTTTTCTGGTGTGGCTTGTATTCACCTCATCCCCTATTTCCCCTTGTATTTTATCATCTATGTTGGTTCTTCCTCTAAATGAATGAAGCGTAGCATGTGAGTGAAACGTAAACCTGCTGTATTTCATCATAAAATAAAAGAAGAAGAAGGTGATGGGTTCCACAAAATGAGAAGGAAGAAGGAGGAGAGGGAAAGGAGGAACAAATGAGCGGGCGAGTTGCTGGGCTAGTGGCTCTTCGTGACAACGATCGCAATCGGTAGGTCAACACCACATTGGACGAGTAGTGAGCTCCATGCCAAGCTTACACCAATGGCTACCGAAAATGAGGCATTGAGGTGAGAATGGGGTAAAAGTACAGTGGCAGATGTAGAGTGGGCATCCCATATATATTAGGGAGGATGTGGTTGAGGGAGGGAGCCATGCGTTTCTGGTCATGAGCTCATGCATTTCTGGAGGGAGGGAGCCATGCGAGGGAGGATGGCTCCGGGGAGAGGCGGACGAGGATCTCGCCGAGGACGTTGTCATCCTCCAGCGGCCCCGCCGCAACCGCCGGCGAAACGCGGCGGCCGCGGCCGGTGGCCATCTCGCCGCCGACGTCGCCCGTGAGGAATAGAATGGGGATTCGAGCCTGTTTTTTTAGGGTTTTCCAATGGAAGTGGGGAGCAGGAACCAGACTCGTTTTCTTTCCTGTAAGAAGGGTTGTTTGGGTTGTGGGCGTACAAGGGGGGGGGACGATTTTAGCCAAAGCTGAAATTGATATGTTGGTAGCAAATTGAAGGAAATATGCCCTAGAGGCAATAATAAAGTTATTATTTATTTCCTTATATCATGATAAATGTTTATTATTCATGCTAGAATTGTATTAATCGGAAACATAATACATGTGTGAATACATAGACAAACAGAGTGTCACTAGTATGCCTCTACTTGACTAGCTCATTAATCAAAGATGGTTATGTTTCCTAGCCATGGACAAAGAGTTGTCATTTGATTAACAGGATCACATCATTAGGAGAATGATGTGATTGACTTGACCCATTCCGTTAGCTTAGCACTTGATTGTTTAGTTTTCTGCTATTGCTTTCTTCATAACTTATACATGTTCCTATGACTATGAGATTATGCAACTCCCGTTTACCGGAGGAACACTTTGTGTGCTACCAAACGTCACAACATAACTGGGTGATTATAAAGGTGCTCTACAGGTGTCTCCGAAGGTACTTGTTGGGTTGGCGTATTTCGAGATTAGGATTTATCACTCCGATTGTCGGAGAGGTATCTCTGGGCCCTCTCGGTAATGCACATCACTTATGCCTTGCAAGCATTGCAACTAATGAGTTAGTTGTGAGATGATGTATTACGGAACAAGTAAAAAGACTTGCCGGTAACGATATTGAACTAGGTATTGAGATACCGACGATCGAATCTCGGGCAAGTAACATACTGATGACAAAGGAAACAACGTATGTTGTTATGCGGTCTGACCGATAAAGATCTTCGTAGAATATGTGGGAGCCAATATGAGCATCCATGTTCCGCTATTGGTTATTGACCGGAAACAGTTCTATGTCATGTCTACATAGTTCTCGAACCCGTAGGGTCCGCATGCTTAAGGTTTTGATGACAGTTATATTATGAGTTTATGAGTTTTGATCTACCGAAGGAGTTCGGAGTCCCGGATGAGATCGGGGACATGACGAGGAGTCTCAAAATGGTCGAGACGTAAAGATCGATATATTGGACAACTATATTCGGACATCGGAAAGGTTCCGAGTGATTCAGGTATTTTTCGGAGTACCGGGGACTTACGGGAATACGGGGAAGAGTATTGGGCCTTAATGGGCCTTAGTGGGAAGGAGCCAGGAGGTGGCGCGCGCCCCTCCCAAGCCCAGTCCGAATTGGACAAGGGGTTTGGGGCGCGGCCCCCCTCTCCCTTCCTTCTCCACTCCCCTCCTTTCCCCCCTTCTCCTAGTTGGACTAGGAAAGAAGGAGTCCTACTCCCGGTGGGAGTAGGACTCCCCTTAGCACGCCCCTCCTTGGCCGGCCGCCCCCTCCCCCTTGGCTCCTTTATATACGGGGGCAAGGGGGCACCTCTAGACACACAAGTTGATCTTCGTGATCGTTTCTTAGCCGTGTGCGGTGCCCCCCTCCACCATAGTCCAGCTCGATAATATTGTAGCGGTGCTTAGGCGAAGCCCTGCGACGGTAGAACATCAAGATCGTCACCACGCCGTCGTGCTGACGGAACTCTCCCTCGACACTCGGCTGGATCGGAATCCGAGGGACGTCATCGAGCTGAACGTGTGCTAGAACTCGGAGGTGCCGTAGTTTCGGTGCTTGATCGGTCGGGCCGTGAAGACGTACGACTACATCAACCGCGTTGTTCTAACGCTTCCGCTTTCGGTCTACGAGGGTACGTGGACACACTCTCCCCTCTCGTTGCTATGCATCACCATGATCTTGCGTGTGCGTAGGAATTTTTTTGAAATTACTACGTTCCCTAACAGTGGCATCCGAGCCTAGGTTTTATGCATTGATGTTATATGCACGAGTAGAACACAAGTGAGTTGTGGGCGATACAAGTCATACTGCTTACCAGCATGTCATACTTTGGTTCGGCGGTATTGTTGGATGAAGCGGCCCGGACCAACATTACGCGTACGCTTACGTGAGACTGGTTCTACCGAAGTGCTTTGCACACAGGTGGCTGGCGGGTGTCAGTTTCTCCAACTTTAGTTGAACCGAGTGTGGCTACGCCCGGTCCTTGAGAAGGTTAAAACAGCACTAACTTGACGAACTATCGTTGTGGTTTTGATGCGTAGGTAAGAACGATTCTTGCTCAGCCCGTAGCAGCCACATAAAAACTTGCAACAAGAAAGTAGAGGACGTCTAACTTGTTTTTGCAGGGCATGTTGTGATGTGATATGGTCAAGACGTGATGCTATATTTTATTGTATGAGATGATCATGTTTTGTAACCGAAGTTATCGGCAACTGGCAGGAGCCATATGGTTGTCACTTTATTGTATGAAATGCAAATGCCCTGTAATTGCTTTACTTTATCACTAAGCGGTAGCGATAGTTGTAGAAGCAATAGACGGCGTAAACGACAATGATGCTACGATGGAGATCAAGGTGTCGCGCCGGTGACGATGGTGATCATGGAGGTGCTTCGGAGATGGAGATCACAAGCACAAGATGATGATGGCCATATCATATCACTTATATTGATTGCATGTGATGTTTATCCTTTATGCATCTTATCTTGCTTTGATTGACGGTAGCATTTTAAGATGATCTCTCACTAAAATTATCAAGAAGTGTTCTCCCTGAGTATGCACCATTGCGAAAGTTCTTCGTGCTGAGACACCACGTGATGATCGGGTGTGATAGGCTCTACGTTCAAATACAACGGGTGCAAAACAGTTGCACACGCGGAATACTCAGGTTAAACTTGACGAGC